ACATATATATACGCACAAATTAGTTAGGTTAGATATACAGCTATGTTCTCTTAGTTCAATGAGAAGATTTGTACCCACAGTGTTCAGACAAGATATCATGTCTGTATCTTGCACTATGAATAACTACTACAAGGACAACAATATGCAATGTACTAATTATTGTAACTGTCCTACTAACCTGTTTTGAAACTGTCTCATTGCTATTTCTTTCTCAATAAAATTAATTTAAAAAATAGATTATCATTTCCTAACCAATAATAGCATAAAAGTTCTGGAGAAATAAAAGTACTGGGGAAAAAAAGATAATATAATCACTTTTAAAAGTGGACCATCACACGGCTGTTTCTTACGCAAATAATTATATGTAAAATCATTGTGATAGAATAGTGTGATGAAATATTGTATGGTCTAAAGAAAATATTTATTACCATAAATAAAAGACGTCTTGCCATTTATTCCCCCTCTAAGTGCTTCCTCTCTTTGCACACAGTTCTTCCCTCGTTCGAGATTATCTCTGAAGCAGCTCTGGAAGTCCTCTTCATGAGTGCCCTGAACAGGGCTGCCATGACTACCCTCGCGTTCCAAGTTGATCCAGTGTTGCCTTTTCATAGCTCTTTTGTGTTTAGCGAAGATTCAGACGTTGAATGGTGCCAGATCCGCTGAGGAAGACGAACGAAGACGCACCGCCACGTTGTCGCAGGCCTGCCTTTCCACTGGGTAGCTCTCGGCCACAGCGTTCCCCGCAGTGATCCTCACGCCTTAGACAGAGACTCCTGAAAGAGGACCTCCAGGCTGCTGCAGAAAGCTGCGAGGAATCCTGCTACTTCTGTGTCTGACGCAAGAGTGTTTTGAGGCGGATTAGTGGTGATGTGATTTTTATTGTAAGAAAATTTTTATTTAAAGTATTCTTGATCGCCCCTAGTATTCAGAACAGTGCATAATAAAAAGTGAAATAATCAAAAAGGGACACACAACCAATTATCTGTAAAGTATCCCGACCTAAATAGGAATGCTATCACTGCTCTGGATAAAGGCAGTTTACAGTAAATTATTTAGAAATTCGAGGGGAGATAGCCCAGTGGAATAAGCGCTTGCCTGGCAAGCGCAAGGGCCTGAGTTCAATCCCCGGTTCTGCCAAAAATTGAACAAAAACCAAACAATTGTTTTAAAAATTCGATAAACTTGAATATGAAAATATAACTTCTTTATAATACACTTTATCTTTTTGTTTTGTTTTGGTTTGGTTCCAGGAATTGAACTCAGGACCTTGTGCTTGCCAGGCAGGCACTGAATAACCATTCTTTAATTCTTTTCATTCATTCATTCTTTTTTATTTTTTTAATATTGGAGATGCAACCTAGAACATTGAACATCCTAAACAGGTTCACTTTCATCGAACCAAACCCCCAAGCCCTGACTTCTTACTTGGAAAAATTTGATGGAAAACAGTCACTTTCTAGTAGTTATGGACCTGCCAGATAGCTCAGTGAGTCAAAGTGCCTGCTTAAGCAGAAGCAGGGACTGGGGTTCGACCCTGGGCGTGCCACCTGGGACCCACCCCCGGGGCGCACTGAGATGGAGATTGAGAATGGGCGTGGTGGTGTGCATCTGTAATCCCAGAGTTTGGGAGGCTCAAAACAGGAGGATCACTAGGAGTGAAACCTTATACTAAATACATTAAAAATAAAAATTAAAAAAAAAAAACCTCTAATAGTTGAGATAAAGTTTCTCTCGCACTGATTCCAAACTGTGTCATTTGCATCAAATCTCTCTTCTGTAAGCCAGATGGGTTCTGGCCAACACTCCAATGCCACCATCTCTTATCATTGCAGAATAATCCACAACTACTAATAGCATTGGTTTTTATTCCCCATTATTGCATCATTAGTGGCCATTAATCTCGACTATCCCATCATCAATGCTATTGTCATTAGAACTGCAGTTTGTACTTTGTGTGTCATAATCACTCTTCCATTTGCACAAACACATCCTTGAAAAGAAATTATTTTTAGTAAAAAAAAATAGCAACAATAAAAGATTTACACTGTATATCACAATCAGTTCTTTTTGGCTAAGTTAAAAGAAAAAAACATCAGAGCTGTTGAGTGGATCCAGTAAATTTGTAGCACATAATAGGCTCCGGGGACAGTGCACACTGCTTAAAAGATAGACTGTCCTGAGGCCAAAAAAGAAATGTTCTTATAATACCTAAAAGTGAATTTGGAGGTTAAGTAATAACGTTGAAAATAAGCCTTAAAGAATAGAATAGATTATTCTATAATTTCATCCACCCATGTATTCATTCCCTAATCTATTTAAAAATAGTTATTGCCGGAAGGTATCGGAGCAGCAACAAATCAAATTCTCTGAGATTTGGAATCCAGACACTGCAATGTAATAACCTAGGAGAAGAAAAGAAGGAGGGTGAATCTTTGGGCCCCAGGAGGTAAAATCAGAGCCTACAAAGAAAGTGAAGGGACAGAGCACAGTGCAGAAGAAGTAGGTGGTAAGCTGCACTTTCTCCCTGGGTCCCAGAAAACCCTTGAAGAAGGAGGATCAGCTCTACGGAGACTCAGTGAGGGTGGGTGACCCCAGAGGCCTCCAGAGAGAAATGCACCAGTGGAGTGGAGCAGGGTATGAGCTACAACAGCTGGTAACTCCAGGACAAGCATCTGCCATGGCCCCCGGAGAAGGGGCTTGGTCATATGCCATTTAGGGAGGGGCCCACCGAGCCTGATGCTGGCATAGCCGGGAACTGGCTGCACCTCAGGTGAGAGTTGGAGTCAGATCAGACCATCAGATCAGTTCACTCTCTCTCTGTCTCTCTGTGTGTCTCTCCCTCTGTCTCTCTCCCTCCCTCCTTCTCTCCCCTCCCCTCACTGGGAATGGAGTACTGAGCCTCACACAGGCTAGACAAGGGTTCTACCACCAGCCCATTACATCATGGTCATTCATAAGATGAAAAAGTCTGTTCTGTTCAAAGTGATATTTTGGAGAAAAAGATAAATATGGTGTCTTCCCTTGTCCATGAGGGATACTTTCCATGACCTGAAGTAGATAGTCTCAAACCAAGGCTACCTTTGTATACCATATCTTTTTCCTACATATAAACTGGTATATATGATAAAACTTAATTTATTAGCACAGCAGGACATTAACAACAACTAACAAAAATACAAAAATTACTATATTAACTACATAAGGGTAAACATGAACACAATCACCTTACAATCTTCCCTACAGTCAATCTGATCATTGACTTGGCTAGTACGTTACTACTGAGGGGGTAATGTACGCAGCATGGATGTGCTGGACAGAGGGACAACTTTTGTCCTCAGTAGGAAGAGCAGGAAAATAGAAGATTCCATCGCACCACTCCCCCACTGTGTGTGACATGTACTCTAGGACTTAAATGAATTATTTCTGAAATTTTTGATCTACTAGTTTCAGATTATGTTGATCATGGGAAACCGACCACAGAAAGTGAAATCATGAACAACTAGTTTGAGGACAATGCTATGCACTAGAACAACCATTGTTGAATTCCTATCAACTTGGTTTTTGAAATTCTGTAGTGTTTCTTTTCTTTTCTTTTTTTTTTTTTTTTTTACTTAAAATAAAAAAGATACTTAAACTCAAAATCACATTTTTATTTGCTTGTTTTCATAGGGCAGAATTTGTGAGAAATGTAAAGAGGTTAGTTGGTCTTGTGTTTGAGCCCCTCCTTCCCACACATACAGGCAAGAGGCCCCATTTTTTAATGAAAATTCTTCATTCAGTCAGTCTGCATTCTGCTCATTTAAAGAGTGAAACAGCCAGCACAGTGGTTTATTTTGACTGCTTTAGGATACCACAGAACAGGTGAAGACATCAGATGCCTACAAAGCTGAAATTTCCCTCAAGTTCCTCTTGCTCTGAGATATCCCTCCCTCCTTTGTCAGGGAGTACTTGTGTCATTCAAGATCAAGTGTGTTGTGTTTTTTCTTGATAAAGAACTGAAAGTCCTGCAGATATATTTGAGAATCAAAGTTTGAGAGAAATTTTCACCAGTATTAGTTCGATTAGTAAACTGAAAAATGTAGGTTAATATCAAATAATAGACACGCTAATAAACATGGGAGCTCTGAGGAGGAAGGATATTTTTTTCACTTGCTGCTATAAAGATTCTGTTTATTTGAAGGGATACAATGGTGGTGTGGCCTTTCACGTAGCCATCACTCCCCTCACGTGAGAAAGAGGCAATGGCAGCTCGAGAAGGAATGACCTGCAGTTAGACTCCACAGCCGCGCACGTACTCAGTGAGGTCTTTGTTTTGGCAACGATTTCTCCAAGCCACCCTGCACGGAAGAGTGAAACACGCAGAGAACAGGTTAAAACAGGTCTTCATTTTGGGGTACGTACTCCAAATCCCATGGGGTAAAAACTATTTTCTCAAAAATGACTTCCAAGCTCTAGCTAGGCCTAGGCACTGCTATCTGCGAGGAGGTGTGAGTCCAGAGTGCTGGACAGTTGTATTCAGTGATGTGGTACTGGCCACTTACTTATTTTACACATATTTTCCTGATAGAAAAAGGAACTGTTGGAGTATGGAGAACCTTAAAGAACTCCAGAAAACCCTAACATTGGGCTGGGGAGATGGCTCAGTAGGATAAGCGCTTGACTGGCAAACACAAGGATCTGAGTTCAATCCCCGGTTCCACCAAAGAAAAGAAAACCCATTGGGGAGGAGAAGAGTGAGGGTGTGGATCAGTTAATAGGCCACCCTGTTGATGGATGGAAGCGATGCTCAGTCTCACAGGAGCCAAATGTCGCAGCTCAGGTCCCAGCTGGTCCCTAAGAGCCTTCCCCCCACACTGGGTGTATCACAGGGGCCACCCACATGAAACGTTTTCCCCATTAGCACTTAAGCGTACCACGCTCGGATGCCTTGGGGATCTCTCACGACCCTCTTGGCACAATTCACAGCCTGAGTGATGTCATCCTGCAACAAAGCTGGAAAAAAGATGTTGGGAGTGAACACAGCTGCCACGAATGTCATTTTCAATTTAGATTTAAACTTGAGGGGCCGGAGAGATAGCTCAGTAGATAAGCGCTTCCCTGGCAAGCACGAGGGCCTGAGTTCAATCCCCAGTTCCGCAAAACAAATAAATAAATAAATTTGATGCCCCATTCGATGCTTCATCTACCCCCTTGGACATGAAGAAAATTATTCTGCTTCCCATTTACTAAACTTGCTGAAAGCTCTGGAGTTTTTAATAGGATGGGAAGTCATCTTGTACACCACACTGTTAAAAATATGCCTAATAATATTTTACCAATTCTAGCTTAAAATTTTATCCAAAGAAAACATTAGAAAAAAAAAAGTTAGAAATGTACCCAAACATCTATGAATAAAGGTCTCCCCAGCACCTGATGAAAGGAACTAATTGGGAAAAATTTAAGAGCTGAATAGAACTGGATCAATAAATTATAGAATATTCATAGAGTGGAATTCTGCTCACTCTGTAAAAAGCCATTATGGAATTGTATTTTTCAATATGGGAAGTAAGTTTGGGTGGTAAACAAATTGTAAAGCATGGGCTGGAGAGACGGCTCAGTGGAATAAGTGCTTTCCTGGCAGCGCAAGGGCCTGAGTTCAATCCCCGGTTCCACCAAAAAAAAAAAAAAAAAAAAAAATTGTAAAGCATTATATATAAAAAATTAATTTCTATAGAAACACGATTTGGTTATATGTTCATGTGCAGGTACATATGAGTATAATGTAACATGTATACGTGGTTCATAGCATTCTAGAAGAAGGTGAACCAAAAGTTACTAATAATTATAAGCCTCCCAGAAGTAATACTATGGGTGCTATATTTTTCTGCTTATACTTTTCTAATGTTTAGTCAATGACCACAGATTATTATAAAATAGGAAATATTTTAGCAGTAAACTAAGTAGATTAAAACAGAATAGTCTAAACATAATCTTTTCTACTGGGAATTTTAAGATTTAAAAATTGAACCTCATCAATTGGCAGTACCTATGTACTATTTTCTGTACTAACAATTCAACATTATTTTAATTTTGATATGAGTTCAGGAGTCTGATATTCCCATGTCTTTGGCATGTAATAAATGATGTTTTTGTTTTTTGCAGTACTGGGGATTGAACTCAGGACCTTGCGCTTGCCAGTCCGGCACTTATTGTTCTTTTTATAGGAAGAAAATGAGTTTCATCCCAAATAGTTAAATCTCTAAGTTAATTTATTGTGATAATTATTACCTTGGATCTATATTTTTGAGATGCAAACTAAAGAATTTATAAATAAAATATCATAATATTTCTCACTTTAAAAATCTCTCAGAAGAAATATATGTATAGTAAACACACATATGCATACTTTATATACAGAGAAAGCAATATGGCAAAATATTAATAGCTGTTAAGTATACACATATGTTGTTGTTTATTCTAATTTTTCATATATTTAGAAAAGTTTATAATAAAAGATACAGCAATCCAAAAAGATTAGATAACCCAATTATCCCTAAACTATCCCTATAGGAGGAATAATGTTCTGACAAAGCAAGAACGAGTTCATTTAATTAGATTACTGTGGAATTCCAGAATTTGGTCTATTTAAAGTCACTAGCATTTTATATAAGCTACCTATTTCTATTTATTTTTTATTTCCACCGTTTTGCTCTGCTGGGGTTGGAGCCCAGGCCTCCCGTAGGCGGGGCAGGCACTATGCTGTTACCCACTGACACTGACTTTTCACCCTCCTAAATGAGCTGGGTCCCAGCCACCACCAGGGTACCACCGTGCCTTACCGCTGCAGGGTATGCCACAGGCATTCACAGCTCTGGGAGTTTTGCCGTCGTTGCACCAGTAGCGGCTGTTGATCTGGAATATCCCATAATCAGTGCTTCTGTCTCCAGGATTGTAGTTGGTAGCTCCTGTGTTATAGCTACTCTCCCATCTGGCTAAACACACCCCTGCAAAGGAATTAGTTTTAGTAGCAAACAGCAACATTAAATGATGTATACTGTATCCTCAGATCAGTCCTGTTTAAGTACTTTTAATTTACCTTGATGTGCTTTGTAATTAAAAAGGCATACATAACTGTGTCAACACTATTTTTTTGTTCTTGCTGAACAGTTCCCCTGGGCTGAAATGACCTTTCTGCTACAGGCTCCAGAATATCTGGAACTATTGTGTAGGCCCCCCGGACCGGCCCAAAGCGTCAGCTTTAAAAAGCCTCTACCTTCTATGGTGCAAGTCAGTATGTAATACCAACAAAGCAAGATACGATACTCTTAAAACTATTAAAATTGCTATTTCTTCCATTACTTTAATTCTTCTTCTGATCTCTTTCCTCAGGCAATATTCACCTTAGAATAGAACAAATCAGTGGGGTGTTGAGAGATTTAGTAAATTTATAAGAAGTACATTTGGGAATGGAAAAATGTCCTTTTTTTAAATCATGAGGATCGAACCTAGGACCTCACCTATGGTACATAAGCACCCTAATTCTGAACAAACCCCTAGTTCTCTTTATTTTAATTTGAGACAAAGTTTTGCTGAGCTGCCTGGGCTGGCTTTCTTTTTCTATCCCACTGTCAGTAGCTAGATTGCAAGCATGCATCATAATGCCCAGTGAAAAATACTTTCTATTACAAAAATAAAGATTTTTCTGAGTGATAAAATATTGAAAGGTGAATTTAGAAGTCAAGTTAGAATTTTAAAACTAAAGACTAGAGAATAGAAAAGGCTCTTCTGTGATTTCATCCATATATTGATGTATTCTCTCAAAAATAGTCATTGATGGAAAATGTTTGACTACAGCCTGAAAAAGCACAGTGATAACGTTGACAAATAGGGAGTAAGCCATACAGTAACTTTTCCTTGTGACATACCTGGAATTGGGGAGAAGAAAATGGAAATATTTAAGTCAACCTAGAATAATTAAGAATAATAAAACATTTAATTTTCAGAGTTTCTTTTATGAATAGTGACTGGGGAAACAGGTTCCTGCTTCCAATTTTTGAGAATTCAGTATAATTTTTTAAAATGATGCTCTAGAACCATGTATGGTGGTGCACACCTATAATCCCAGCACCACTTGAGAGGATAAGGCAGGAGGATTGTGGTGATTTCGAGGCCAGTTTCGGCTACATAGTGAGTTCAAGGCCAGCTTTGAACTGCATAGTAGGGCCAGGTAGATGGCTCAGTAGAATAAGTGCTTCCCTGGCAATCACAAGGGTCTGAGTTCAATCCCTTGTTCTGCCAAAAAGGAAAAAAAAAAAAAAATCCCGAACTGCATAGTGAGACCATATCTCAAAAAAGAGAGAGTGATTGAGAGAGAGAAAGAGACAGACAGAGAGACAGAGACAGAGAGACA